CTATACTGCAGCCATTATTACACAAATACACTGCTGGGAGTATTCTACTGCTACTGGAGGGATCATACTGTAAGTCCTCAGTAACTAAGGAAATGCCATGTAAAATATGTCTGAAATGAACACAAAATTAAACGGGATCGTCTGTATATGGTCAAACTTTTGAACAACTATAAAGCAAATTTTTCTGAGTAAAGGTCACATGTAGCTGGGCCTTACGAGCACTTATACCACTGAGTGTCACACACTCAGAGCCAAACCCAAAATGCATATTAATGACTCCACATATTTCACACTAAGGACATGATACCCTCAGCAGAATTTATCTGCGCTTCCTTGTTTTTCCTTAATTAAATAAGGTCATTAAAGCTGGCATCACGCCCTGCAGCGCTCCAGGTGTTAAATGTCCGTGGTCGATGGTGTACTAGTAAGGCGTGGACACAGTGAGTCACCAGCACCAACAAACTAAGCTAAGGCACTACATCCTCCAAATTGTTTAAGGAGATGTACATTTCTCCAGAGGGCATTTTTTCCACATCCTTAGCTGCCTGCCTAAATGCCTGTCCCAAATCAGTCCCAGCTCTGTTCCATTCTCCTACTCTGCCCTTGGCGAAACCCATCTGGTAGTGTTCCATGGGGAAACACTAATTTGGACAGGATTAAGTCAGTGTCTGCACATTACACAACAGCTTTGTGGGTCTCCATGGAGACCTGAACGTCTTCATTTCCACGTGGCATCCTATTGCGCTTCAGGTTTCGGCCCATAGGGGGGGCACTCACCATTGCGTCCAGCAGCGGGAAGCACGACAGGTATAGGAAGGCTTTCCTGGTCTTGCTCCCTACGGAGTCCTCCACGTGGTGAAGCTTGTTGATGATGTAATAGCCCAGGTCTGTAAATGCTAGAAAGAAGAGAGGAGGAGATAAACTGAACACCGTGGGCCATGCCAGCCCCCTCCCCAGCATTGCTGAGAACACAATCGGAGAGTGGAAAGGGTTAGCAAACTGAAGTTAGCGTAGCACGGCTCCTCTTCTCAGCACCAGCGTCAATAACATCAGCCTTGAAAACCCTCCCCGAGACAGTAAGACGACCTCCCTTCACCCAAACACAGCCAGTGAAGGGCACAGCTTTGAACAATTTTAACAGTCATAAAACTGCCTGGTCGAGAGAGCCTGGACATTTGACCTGGAGCAAAAATGCCTGTGGTCTGGATGAAGCACATTCCATCTAGAAGATAACTATCATCTCCATATCTGATGTCCTCCTGGTGTCCAGTCCTCTGCATGGTGCAGAGTTGCCTCAGTGAATCTAGCTAAGGAGGATCTGCTCTTTTGGGGGGGGGGGGTCCCAGCTACCCCCACCCACGACTGTGACTTTGAGATAAACAGGGTGTTCTAACGAGCTTTCAGAAAGAAAGAAAAAAAAGCCAGTGTCGTATCAACCCACCAAGCAGGCTGTGCCGAGCAGGGAGCCTGATGAAGTACAGGACACAGCAAGCCTTTGCTACGGCTCATTTCCTGGTTTTGGACCAGGTTTTAAACGCAGCGAGGCCGACCCAAACTGGCGTACGCGTGGGACGCTCTCCTGAATGCGCATGCACCAGGCAAGCATACTAAATGTTAACTAAATGTTAGCACAAAACAAGCGGCAGACAAACAAACGCGAACACCATCCACCCATTTAGCTACTGTATCAAAACGAACTTACAGGTGGCCCCGTAACTGGCCACGCCGCCCACGTAATATAGAACTGAAACAATGTGTTGAGTGTCCCCCTGATACTGTAATGATTTGGGAAGTTGTAATTGTTCGACACCATTATTCACAGTTTGGTGGAATCCCTCCAACTCCACCTAGCAGACATACATATGAGGTGATTGAAGTGTGGATTAATTCTGATCGTGTGTGAATTAATCATCCTGAGATTCAAATACGTCGTCCATGATTCACCTATAATATCATTGTATTAAGGGTAAAAAACTACATAGCGTGGTTTTTTCCCCCTGTTTTCTTTCTGCTCACTTGTATAACTTGTTCTTCACAAATGACGGGTTTCAGAGTATCTTATGCGAAAGAATCCTTGTTTTGGAATGCTTACTGTATCCAAGGACGCTTACCAAGTGTCCCTGGGTTTCG